GATTCGGTTGCTTCGACGTTGCTTTGCTTCGGTTGCTTTGCTTCGATTTGGTTGCTTCAGTTGCTTCGATTTGGTTGCTTCAGTTGCTTCAATTTGTCGCTGGTGCGTTGCTTCGGTTGCTTCGATCCGTTGCTTTGCTGCAATCCGTTGTTGCTTTGCTGCGATCCGTTGCTTCGGTTGCTTCCACGCTTTGCTTGGATACGKACGATAATCGTTGCTTTGCTTCAATTCGTTGCTTCGGTTGCTTCGGTTACTTCGGTTGCTTCGCTTTGATTCATTGCTTTGCTTCATTGCTTTGATTCGTTGCTTTGCTTCGATGCGTTGCTTCGATGCGTTGCTTTGCTTTGCTTCGATGCGTTGCTTCGATTGCTTTGCTTCATTAAAATAGCATTAAGTGTGACTGCTTTTTCTTGTTAGTAGTATTGTTTAGTAGTAGTAACTGTGACTGCTTTTTTGCTTGATTGCCTCAACAAGAGGAGCAAGTTGAATAGCTGATAAGAAGATGGCCCCACCATTGTCATTGTCGTGACGTGATATTGTCGAGAATTACCTTCACGAGTTGTGTTTTTTTCACAGAATTTGCCTTATCAAAAATTGTGTCAGTAATTATTCTCAACTGATGGGCATCAGTTGAGGGATTTTGATACTGTGCTGGTGAGTAGGATAATAGCGAAGTGTACGTATGTAGACTTGTACATGATTCTATACTGTTGCATTTTTTGTTGCATTTCGTATTAATACCTGCACAGTAAGTGATAGGGGCGTTGAATAGTACTTGTAGTACAGTAATGCAGTACTGTAAGTAATACGAAGTACAGTACTGTACTTCGTACCGTACAGTAGCGTAGTACGAGGACTTCTACACAACATTCGTCAAAAGCACAACCATGCTGTACAGTACGTAAAGCAAACGTACGTTAAGTACGTCATCTGCTTCTCTAAAGCGCAGACTTAGCTTCTTCGAGATTTCCCGATAACGAAAATCGAAAAAAAWTGCTTACTCCTCTCGGTATGGTTTCTGAATGGCGTTTGGAATCGCTGTGWAGTATGTTGATCAAAACAACCACATTGTTTCAGTCTTTCCAAAATGTGAAAAGTTCGAATTTTAGTATTCATTCAGTCAGACACTACGAACAAGACGCTTTTTGTTGGATCGGGAAAGCCTAATTCATTCATCTTTATTTTTCCAAAAAAWTTGGAAGAACCCTTAAATTATTATTCGAGTAGTCTTCGAGAAAATCACATCGACGCTATGCGATAGGACTAATCGAATTGACTCCGTTTCGTTTGTCCAAAAGTTTCTTCATTCATACTCGGACTTCGGTTCCYTGATGATTTGTCCACGAATATCTCGCGGTGGCTTCGGTCGTGCTTTCCACACGTTCTTTTGTCCCACACTTGTTCGCAATATCAATTTCTTAGGGTGATCAATGGGAAGTGTTGGGCAGTAGATCAACGCGGTGTGCCCTTTCACCGCTACAAGCGCGACCGGTAAGTGTATGCCCCCCTCTTCTTCATCCCCCTGGCCCTCATCTTCGTCTTCAGACGAAGAGGGAGCAATCAGATCCTCTAAATCTTCGCAGAACCACAGTGCCGTTTGATAGACATCTTTACGGCTTTCGCGACAGATRCCTCTGAGTTCCATCATTTCGCTTTCCGTCAATTGCTGCCATATGGCTTGGATGGTTTCATCGGACCAAGGCCCGTTCGTCTCGTCGTCCGAAAACGAAAAAGAGGGCATCTGCTTTCGGGCCTTTCTCTTCTTTGCTTCTYTCTTAATTTCGGACTTCTGCGATGCCGTTGGAAATTCCACGAGTCCCGAGTCATTGTCTGGATTTCGAGGATCCCACACAATACCGAGTTTTGTCGATTGGGACGAAGCGGGTGTTTTTCGTATTGCCGAGACATATGCGTTGTGCTGTTCGGACGGGACGACGAAGGCTTTCGCAACAGGCGCCCTTTCACCGATGAATAAAAGCAAAGTAACTATAAGAGGGAAATTTACTGCGTTCATCATTGCCTTTCGGTTTGAATTACTCTTCTATGGTATGGAACCGGTACGCTTTTGATCATTATTCAAAAATGTGATTTTGATGGCTGCGTAAGTAGTTTCCATCAACAAGAGGTGATGAARCTGATCTGATGAAAGCTAGCTAGGGTACCGGTATGATCTCCCACAGTACTTGTACGTACCCGCATGAGTACCTACTCGTACCTACGGTACAACAATTACCAGTACTTCCTCAAGTACAAGATATTCGTTGGCTGTGCTTGATGTGCGTCATTTTAAGCAGCGAGGTTTGGGCGCGCCCGCTCGRTGGTATCTTAAAAACAAACCCATCACATTGTCAAAGTAACGAATGATTGTTCTTGWACCAAGGAAGGGTTCGTACTGTTCCGTAGTACAACTCTGCCTTGTTTCGTTCAGCAGKAAGGACTCAGGCCTCAAATTAACGATGAGAGGGTATCGGACTACGTACGAGCAGTCGGATACAAAGGGGTTGACCCCGCCATGATTTTAATGAAGCTTTGCATAAACCTTCATTGAAGGGTCGACTATACAAGAACTACCTAAGAATCTACMTTGTCTGTGAAGCAAGAAACAATAGAATACAATGGGGAATTGCTTTGGACTGTTCTCGGCGGTGGAGTCTCATACCCGTCCTCCGGTTGCCGCTCCTCCGGCCAAAAGGCGACGGAAAGAACAACCTTTTGTGACCGAAGAAGTCCTTGAAATTCGAATGCTAGCAAGAAAGTATCATGAGAAAGTGGTCGAGTGTGCGAAGAATTCACAAGAAGCTTATCAGAAGGGCGACAAGAAAAAGGCACATACACTCAGCGAAGAGAAAAAGGATTGGCAGAAAAAGCAAAACGATGCAAAYATCAAAGCTGCAAAACTTATTTTGGAACCACAAAGCTGGCAGACGAGTGGAGAGATTGATTTACATGGATTATTTCTTCAAGAGGCAACGAACGCTACCCTAGAATTCTTGAAGTACTGGTCTAAAAAGGTGTGGTCGGATGCAAAAATTGTCTTGATCATAACTGGAGCGGGCCACCACTCGGAAAACCACAAGGCAGTAATACGACCCCATGTTGAGCAAATCCTTCAGGAACAACACCTTGACTACAAATCCGTTCACGGAAATGGTGCTTTTGAAATCACCCTCAAGCCAAGACAATAGAAACGAATCTATGATAATTCAAACTCTCTCGCATTTGTCGAATTTCAAAGGATCTCTTCATGCAGATGTAAMATGAATGATTTTCAATTTTCATTCTCGACATGTTATTGATTTGCTAGTTGCTATGGTACGAAATTTTTCAATATAGCGCAAAAAMGAATATGGGCGTCAGTACCGAACAGAAAGGTTGGTCTTCACTGAACTGAGACAGGACTGCATGTTCCCTCGGATTTAAGCGTAAGCAAATGTTTGCGTTGATTTGTGACAGCTCTTCGCCGATAAAAAATGAGCATACTAGAGGCAAATTTTCTCCTTCGATCTCTGGATACTCAGTAATCTGCTGTGAGGTTTGACAGGAGATAATTCCTCACCATATTTTTGGAAGCACGGGTACACAATGAGACAAGTATCTTAGCCCGTCATGATATCGTACACATCAAGAGATCCAAACGTAGGAGTCACAGGATGGATGAATGTAGGAAATAAAATGTCAACGAATAAAGCGTGTAGTGCATAAACGATTGACCCACCAAGTATCGGCAACCCATACGAAGTACCTCGTTGGTATAATGGTACAATTCGATTGGTACTCATTGTAATGGAATAGATCGCCACGATCACAAATACCCGGGTAGTAGTATATCTGGCACTAAGCAATACAAGTGATGCCAAACTTAGCGCCCCTTCTCGCACCTTCATTCATAAAATTTTCCATACTGAAATGCTGACACCAGAAGGTAGRATYGAATAAGGAGGGAAAGGCAAGCGCAGTGTTAGCTGAGGCAACTTTTTTTGCGTTATMATTTTCGACGTCACCGGTATTGATTCCGCCACCGTCGACGTATCGACGTCATTTTTCTGCTCGTCYATTCATATCATTKCAAYGTTGGTACTTTTTAAGCGTCATCGATCTTTCGATTGATTTCATCCTCATTCCCTTTGAGACAACGTCATGAGCATTGAGAATTGGTCTTACTYAATGTGTYGTAGTTTAACAGACTGACTTTCCCGGAGCGAAGTCTGATGATTAAATGTGTTCAGAATGGTGATAGTACCGGCGCACTACTAGTATAGTAACGAAACAAATTCTTTCGTTCGGATTTTCATTAGTTTTTGAAAGCTGAGAATCCTACAAGGTGTTCTTCTTTCGTAGACGTTTACTATTCGTGCTCTTMCTCGATTCAAGATTTTGAATGTGCATCGGATACACAGTGCAGAGTAGCAGTGTTAGTAAAATCATTCTTACTCGAGATGCATCTTTGAAACTTTCTCTCTAATCCAAAATTTGTACTCGAGTACTGAGTAAGCTACTGACAATTTCAAACAATGCGCTAATCAATCTTTCGATTCTTAGACTACATCTGTCGCTAGCACGGTCTGATATCCTACAGACAACACTTTGAAGGAGTCAAAATTTTATTGTTGAGGATTTGATACGGTTTATTTTGGCGCTCTAGTGTATACAATTTTTAATCTCTTTCTCTCCCTCCAAACGAATCTATGAATTGCATCGTTTCACAAGGACATACTTCTTACGAGTAGTTCGCTCACAAGCCATATATATGTATTGTRAAACATTTTCAAAGTGACTCAGCAAGAGCAGTATATGTTGCTTCAAAATTGTCGGTCGAACGAAATCAGAATGGATTGCTTCGACAATCAAAATGTTGAMGGTATGCCGGACTCTCACCTTCTCCGGTCGAATAAAGACAGAGTTRTCAGACGTACTGTTTATACTTCTGTAGAGATCGGCGGTGACGAAAGTCATGAAGACAAATCMGTATGCTTGAAAGAGCACCCACCAACCTACAAAAGAGTAGAGCGAGTGAGAGCACTAGTTCAGATGGCTCTTTTTGTTGCAGTTTTGGTCCAGGATTACTATCTCCTCCAGGCAATGTTAATAATAGGCATTGCGCCATCTAGAGATRAGGAATGTGGATTTGTAACGCTTTTCGGTAGTTTGTGGAATAGATGCAGCGTGCATTGGACAGTAACTATGTTGAATCTGTTGTCCTGCGTTCTGCAGCTTTCTTTTTTGTACTTCTTTTTTTGGTTGAACAGAGAGAATGTTATTAGTCGGTTCATAGGTTAGTCGGACTTTCAGGCCGAAGAGAGAGAGAGGAGATAAGTACTACAATGATGGATTGTGTATAAGATTGGGATATTTAAAACATTGTTTTTGTTGAGAAATGGCGAGTACAAGAGCAATGCTATTTTTAGTGGACTATTTGTCGACGACTTTAAGAAAAAATGGTATCTTCATCATATTCTTGGTTGATGCCATCGTCAATGACTGAATGACGTAAAATTTGGTTTAGTGAACCATAAATCCTAACTATTTCTCTTTTGTCACACAGAAAGCAGTGATGCTCATAATAGTACCGAAATTCGTCTCCTGTCTTTTCATCGAACAGAATAGTCTTTGCAAGCAGAATCCGTGCAGCTGAGGGCGGAGCCTAGTTCTGTAATCGACTTTGACTTTTCTGATTTGAGTTTCACACGTTTTCATCTCCATCAGGCAAGTTCAGTCACGACTACAGTGGCTTTCTACCGTAGACAGTCACAACTTTGCACAACTTGTCSATATCCATGTCTTCTAGGTATGCATATTGGTCGGCATATTTGCCGTGGATCTTGAACCGCTCAGGATTTTCCTCCTGAAAAATTTCCATGTCAAATTCCATTTCCATAGGGCTCTCGGCATCAACAATCTCCACATCGCAAAATCCAATCTGTTCGCARACTGGTTCAATACTCTTTAGTTCAGCAAACATCCGCATGCAAACCGGCCATTCTATCCCTCCAGATCCATCTGACCGTTCTTCCTCGTCCAGCGGACTTTGAATGGTTGTGGTACAAATGGCCATGCGGCCGCCGGGCTTGAGCGCTCGGTATACTTGGCGGAAGGCTTTTTCCTTGTCTGGAATTAGACAGAATGCCCCATTCGAGATGCACACATCGAATTGAGATTCCGTCAAGCCGTGTTTGTTGAGGGAATCGGAGAGCTTTTCTGCGTCACCCTGAATGAACTCAACGTTTTTCAACTGCTTCTTTTGTGCCACTGTCCTGCAGTAAGAAACTTGCCTGGCAGCCAAATCCACACCTAGAACGCTCCCGGAACTCGCGACATGCTTGGAGGCCAATATGGAATCGACACCGAGGCCACACCCGAGATCCAGAACGCGCTCGCCGGGTTGCAATTTGGCCACACGATGGGGGTTGGCAACACCCTGAAAGTTGTACAAGCAGTCCGCCCCGATGAGGTTCATGTCTTCCTGTGTGTACTGGAGGTGCTTCATGATTGCTCTGGCCTTTTCAATATTTCCCTTGTTGCCTGCTGTGGCGCCGACGCTGTTGTAGGCGTCCCTAGTTTCGACCTTAGCGGCGGRTGGACACGATGGGGAAAAAGACGGAAGAAGAWAATTATCATCGTCTTCGTCATATACATAGCAATAATCTACCGAAGGTTTTTGGAAACCGCCACTTTCAAAATTGAACATAGGTCCCTGAATAATATCACTTTCGAAAACGAGCTTGTCGAATAAATCGGTCTCCTTCGAAAAGAGATTTCTTAAAATCATCCTTCTGTGATCGTCATCATAATGATCGTCGTCGTCGTCGTCGTCGTCGTCGTCGTCGTCGTCGTCGTCGTGAACCTCCAAAATCTTATCTTTCACGGATTGGTCCTCTTCCTCGTCTTTGTCGCATTCAAGATCCTTCAAAGGTTCGTACCTATCCTCTATGCATGTTTCATACAACATTTGAGATCCAATCAACACGGTCGAGTCTTCGCACACATCAAGTGCACATGGGTGTTGGAAGATTGGTGAAGGGGATGTCCCCTCCGCATTGGCTTTCGTAGCAACCAGTGCCTGGAGGTATTTTTCCAATCGCTCAGGAACACCCAGGTGGTGTTTCAAATGCCCCATACCCGCGATAATCATGAACCGATCGTTCTTTTGAGCCCCCGCCACGAGTTTTGATAGGTAGTACCCCATGGCGTGATCCTTTAGCAATTGGGCCTGGTACAAATTACCAATRGGTTTCGATGCAATCTCATCGCTAAGATAGTCGTCATCGGAACGCACCTCTCTTAGGTTTTCATCGACAGGATCATAGAGATCCTCGCCGCTCATCATGGACCGAATCAGCCGAAAGTGACACGTACTTCCGTCGAGCATCAATTTGTCGTCGTCACAATTCAACGCTAGCAAAGAACCGTGWCGAGGATCTCCAGGGGGAGGAAGATAGTCTTTCTCATAGCATTCTTYAAGAACTTTTCGCTTCTCATYTGTATCGCTTCCGGCCTTGTACCATCGGCTTGCCAACGGCCTTGGAATGAATCCTCCGTGTAGCCGAATCGCGKGGAGCGCAGCGCCACCAGCATTGGCAACGAGGTGGTCTCCTTGAATTTTTCCTTTGCAGGACATGAGAAATTCCTTGTATGGATCAAGGTTGTGCCCCTCGGTTCCAATCTCTGAGTAAGATTTTTTCAKKTCGTCGAAACTAAAGTTTTCATCCGTTTGGAATGCATGGAGAAGACCCTGCATCTCGAAGGAAAAGTGTTCTAAAACGACATGGAGTTTCGAATTGCTACCCACTGCGGCAGTGTTAGCTGAGCATAATTTTSTTAGCAACTCAGTCTGTAGTGCCGTGATACGATCCTCCGAATGAAATTCGCCAAACCATACCAAAGATTTCTTCTCKAGTTCTGAGAATAGTTGCTTGCGAGAAACAATGCCCTTCGATGGATGGCTCACGAACCGATGGATGAATCGATTCATTGTCATCGGCTGYTTGCGGTTATTTTCTTCGCGATGCTGTGATTCTGGCGGCTCCGGCGAGGTCGGAGTTCAAAATGTCGGGATCAGGGTTTGAGAAGCGCGTGATCTCTTGTTGAAATGAGATTGAAATGAGATTTTTGAAATTCTTCGAATCTTCGAAACATGGATGTGACAGGCCGTATCGTACAGAATGGACAATACGTACGTACAGTGCGAAAACCTGTTACGGGTAGTACTGTACCTAMCGTACGTACGTACTAATCTGACAGAGATTCATTCATTCTTCAGTCAAACGGTGAAAAAGTGGAGGTATTGTTACTGTTCCTCGTAACCTGCGAAGTGTACCGTATGTATGCTCTTTAGTGTGGTATCTACGTGTTTACAATAAAGAGTGAGTTGAGTGGATGTGCTGTTTGCTGTCACTCACTATTCACTCGTGATTTACTACGTGTTATTGCCTCACACATACAGTATGGGTTACGAGTACGTACCAGGTACTGTACCAGGTACTGGATTTTGGTACAAGTAGTACTACCAATATGTACTTTTCGACATGAGTCATAATTTAGACCCCTGCTTTTCGAAAATAGGGAACTTTTTAGTCGAATGGGTCATTGTTGATTTGTTGATCTATGTAACCGGCTCTCACGCAAAACGTTGTTGAATACTGTACTGTACTTCAGATACGGTACGTACGTGTCCAGTACAACTAACTGAACCAAAAAGTTCGGAGATATTTTTGTCATACTGGACGTATTAGGTATCTACCGTACTAGAGATCGTGATTATTGTTTCGGGCTTTGAACCGTTCACAGAGACAGAGGTGGGTCTTGGGTCTTGGGTTTGTGCCGTGGGACTGCAAAGGGACCCCACACATGATGCACTTTACTGAAATTGCGCCCGACATTTTTTTCACTTTGCCTCCGAAGCGACCGCAGAGCCGAAAACCAACTACTGTACGTACTTGWATCTTAGTAACAACTTCTGTTCGATAATACCGTACCGTACGTTTCTATTTTCACGTCTTTCAGTTCAGAACGACCCTGTACCGTGCAGGTACGACAGCCTTCGAGCACCAAGGACGAGGACGTAAAACTTCCTCATACGCCCGTCRATGCCATCGGTACGACATCGATATTCCGATACGGTACGTACTAGTATCCGACTTTTTGCTATTATTATGCCGACATACCATACCAGAAAGTACGGTACTCACCAGAAACGTTGTCAACACATCAAATCACTGTCGTTCTCGAATACATCAATACAACAACCAGCAATTCGTTCACGGCATACTGATGATCAATATGCCTACCATTCGATGCTATTTGATTTTTCTGCTATTTTTTACTGTCGATCTTTTCGACGGTGCATTCGCYTTTACATCGAATTTATCATCCTTGGCATCTGCAGGATCAAGAGTCCGCTCCGGCATCGCGAGTCGTCGCCATTTTTTGACGCTCTTCYCTAAAAATTCGCCTACTGCTGGACCACGGACATCGATTTCGGATGTGGGGTCATTGTCGTCATCCTCGTTGATGGGAATTTCCGATGTGTTTGGGGCGATCGAGTACARCGACTTGCTTTATGACGATACACAGACAGCCTTTGATGGATGGGAATGGACCGCTAACATGGGGGCCCCGGCGGCCCTTATTGCTGCCGCCGTTTTGGTCACCTTCGGCGAAACCAGACGCGATACCGTGCCTCTAAAGACCGACAAGCGATGGGTTCGATTTACAAAACGCATGATGCGATTCCTTTTGATGACATCATTTGCATCCGAGGTTATTTCCATCTTCGTCGGCAACATGCTCGGGAGTATGCTCTTGGGACACGAGGCTCAAAATATCATTAAGAAACGCATTGGATATGGAGCTCCCTTGACACTTGTGCATCACCACCACGAGTGAGTATGTGTAATAAAGTCATCGATTCGGYAATCAATCAACAGGGAGATTGTGTAGTGTTTGTTTTATTTCATGAAGCTGCGATTCAATACTGACATGCTGTTCAAAATACATTGYTTTTTCCACATTCGTCTCTTCTTTACAAAAGACTTGAATATTTGCTGACCCAGATATCCTTCCTGCAGGGTCTTCTCCACTGGCTAGGTGCGGTCATTTGTGAACTTATTCTCCCCCAAAAGGGCGAAACGCCTAGTGCCAAACTCATGAACAAGTGCTTGGCGAGCTGGTTGGTGACTCTCGTTCTTGCCATCATGTCGTTTTACAATWCCCATGTGAATTTCTACTCGGGTTATGGCAGCATGATTAMAAGGTTGATCGTTCTACTTTTCGAACAAGAAAAGCAGTTCAGACCGTTGAGTTTGCTCTATATRCCTTCGTTCGTGACTTCCATTGTGTTGACGTGGCGGGCTTTTACGAAAACGTCGAAGGAAGAATGATCGCAAACACAAATTTGTATGATATCATAATAAAGTACRGTAMTGATTACTAAAAATAATAATATCGATATGCTGAACGATGCCGAGAGCTAGAGCGYATGTTTCTAGGCGAGGAGATTCGACACACATATTTCAATGCWTTGCTTCAAGAACTCTTCTGTCAAGWTCATCGCAATACGCACTCATCCGTGCACAGGAGATGAYCTGGTCGTGTTCACCACCATTGTATCCGCATTATCCAAACAATCTTGTTGCATATTGTGTTGTGATGATGTATCGTGTTGCATCAAAAATCGTTTCGTACGTTGCAGCAATTCGAGAGCACGAACCATTGTATCTAGCTTTCCCTCGCGCACTTCCAATAAAGCGACTAGCATGGTGGGCCGGTCTAGCTTCCGAATGATCATATTACCTTTGCTGTCGATCTTGCTTCGGTTTGCTCTTGAATGACAGCCTCTAGTGCCAATTTCACGTCTCGATCCGGGACAAATCCGAACCACTTGTCCACCGACACTTGCGCCTGSGTCAATATCTCGAGCAGTTCCGTCGTGTCCAATCGTCGGAAATCAACAMGATTGTTGCCGCCACTTTCTTTCCGTTGGTACATCCATTCGGCCCGGGCATCTTCCAGYGCCGTCTGGACTTGGTTTCGATAAAGATCTCGGGCATCGAGGTCGCTGCGAATGACGTCGGTCGTGGTGGGCAGCCGGTCGTTTCGAATCCGCTGGCTCTTGTCCTGGGTGCTTCCTACCCACTGGTAGTTGGTGCGACTAAAATTTAAATTGGTAGTATAGATGTTGAAGGCCCTGCGAACTTCGCTAGCACCCTCCCTCGCTCGCTCGGCTCGCTGGAGTTGGGTCCACTGTCGACGTTCTCCCACCAGTTCGCCGACCTCGAAAAACTGCGGGRCAAAACCCACCTCGATGGCACGATCTCTACGTTCTTTTTGTTTCTGTGCAGCGACACCAATTTCACCCACAATGGGCAGGCTGTTTTTCCCGTATTGGTCCCCCCTGCTGACGCTGGGGTCGTCGTTCTTTATGAAGGGTGGCGGGGTGAGAAACAAAGCATCGAGTTTGTTTACTTCGTCCTGGGCCCTGGCAACTATGGTATCTTTGGTTCGCTGGTCGCTATTTTTTTCGTCTACCGTGGTCGYTGTCGCACCAGTCGAAACACCTTCCAATGGTACTGCCTCTTGCTGCAACTTTGTAACTTCTTCCACGATGGCTAACGTCTGATAGATGTAGGTCCCGACCCGAGCTGCCGGGAGGAGGTATTCCAGGGGGGCGGACGGGCGAGAATTGTCGACGCCCATGGGTTTGGCGAGCCGGAGCCCGTCGCCGATGTCGGCGTCATCACCCTCGCTCATAGCAAAACAGGGATCTGTGTTCGAAAGCAACATGGTTGCAAGAAACGACAGCTGCACCAATGAATCTCTGCGTGTAGCACCCACCATRGGAAGCTGTTCATTGGTCAACTCATTTCTGGCAACGCGGGGGCCAGTGCGGTGGCGGGGTGTCTCGGCACTGAAGGCATCGACGACAGAGGCATCGTTCCCCAGCGAGTTCGAGCTCGAGTTCAGCAACAGAACAAGAAAACAGAGGGAAACAGAGACCAAGAGGCTGCTTTCAGAACSATGATACCACTGAAACAACTTCATCGGAAAGAGATCTTTTGCTTTTTTAATGGTTTGGCACTTGTTTCGGAACCAAAGGGCCTGCTGCGACGATGATMTTTTACGTGCAAGTGGGTTGTTGTTGGTGTTGATCAAGTCCCCTGACTGTTTCGACAGCGGATCATTCTTCCTTTTTCCAAAAACCGGTTATCATTATTTTGGTAAAAACTCGTGTCTGAAATAATCGGTCAAAATTAATTACAAGTACCGTACTTCGTACTGACTCATTCATGACTGGATTCATTCGGAAACTGTACCGTAGGTACGGCATACGGCGTCATCATAAAGCATCATGGCGTACATACTATTCGTATCGCATCTGTCGTACCAGGAACCATACGTACATACTTTACGGACTAGAGTGAAGTACATTCGTTTTTGTCATCTTTGCAATCTTCCCCTCGTTGGAAACTCTCGTAGAAATCCTTCTGGACAGCGAGGCTAGAAAAGATGAGATGCGAAGATTCCGAAATCATATCGTCTTCCGAAGTAGACTTCCGAGTACGAAGTCGTACTTTTCATACGTACGGACTGTACCGCACTCTAGCAGAAGAAGAAAACGGTACCGGTACTGCTGTACATACCTGTACTGCTACTCGTGCAGATGATGGTCCACGTCCTGGCACGTAGATCCTACGAACTGAACTCTCCAAGAGCTACATTTCACAACTCAGATTTTGATATTCTTGTCCAGTTCTGTATGTACAATACAACCGTGCTCATTCCATCGTCGAACGAACACAATGCCGGCCATTACGTTACTGCAATAACATAAAGATAGAAATACTAAACGACACGAGAAATGTTGCGACGAAAAGGATSGTGGTCGAGAATCACCAACTATTCCGACCGAGACATTGTGGTTTCTCTATTGCGATCTGCTGGACAYGGAGACACTCTCGACCGCAATGTAGATTTGGTACTTTCTTCAAAAGTCAAAATCGATGTCGACGGAAACGTGGTGGAACTGTCCCTTGGACGGAACAATCGATCCACCACTGCCTRTCAGATGTCACGACAATTGCGACTGGAGGGTGGAAATTACACGGATCGTTCGCCGTATTGGGACTTGCCGGAGTCCGTAGGGGGACTCCGGAAGCTCGTCAAGCTTGTCCTGTACAGTTGCAGATCGATCCCCCCGTCCCTGAACGATCGTTTGGACCTCAGTTGCCTAGAGCTGCATTTTTGCGACGGAAACACCATGGCGCAAGGGCAATATCGATTCTTGTCAGCATCAACAACAACACCGATAGCACCATCAATGTCCATACTGTCGAGCATATTTGATACCCCCGCCAGTCATGATGGTACTATCGAGAGCAAGAACAAGAATGACAAACACGAGTGCGTCGATCGGGTAGTGCGCGGTCGATTATCTCKTCTCAAAACGCTAGGAATCCATGGTGGAGTATGGAACACAAAATCCATTCAATGGATGAAGTGGATGGTTTCTCCTATTTGCTACAATACCATCGATGCTGTTACTCCCAGCGAAACTTCCAATCATCCGTGTGAGGCACATTGCAGTGCAACAAAAACAACAATCTGCAGGGAACGATGCGGGACATCCCACCTCGAGGTCGTTCGATTTTCGTGGTTGCAAGACGATCTTTTGCCTGCCCTTTTGGATTTCCTGTCCCCCTGGAAGGAAACAGCAGGATGTGTACGTGTCGGTACTACTAGCCGTATGAGACACCTCTCGTGGATCCATTCTGAAATGAGCGACCAAGGTTTTGAGCGAGTTTTGCGAGGGGTAGTGCTACCATTTCATCCCAACCTGAGTAGCATCGATGTTTCGAGCAATCGGATTCGGAGTCTGCAATTTTTGTTGCAAACGGAGCCAAACGACGAAAGCAGTTGCAATCAAGAACAACTWCACCAATTCAATATCCCAAGTTACCATTCTCTTCGCTCGATGAACTTGCACCACAACCCGATTTTAAAGAAAAAAGCGTGTTTTGATCCCCTCGAACAACAAGCGTTCGAAACACTGCTGTTGCGTTTCTTTCCGTTGCTTGGATCGCTGACGCCCAGCTGGGAAGATTGGAATCCTGCTATTGAGTACCTGCTGCGGATCAATCGTGGCGGTCGAATCCTCATAGATGCAACCAAGGTGTCACGAACGATAGCATCGGTATCGCTCGMATCATCGTCTGACCAATCACGGGTTGTGACATTGGACTCAATCTCGGATTGTACTACCAGTTCGAGGAACAATCAAGATGCTGCCTTAATGSAAAAGGAAGAAGAATCGTGCTCCGCCGTGCCGAAATCGCCAACAACGACAATCTCAAACCCAAGACAGAAAATTCCGCTCTCGGTATGGCCTCTCGTGTTGCACCGGGCATACCAAACGTCTGCGAATGGCTTTTTGCCCCCTCGCGAAGATGCCACTGCTCTGTACTACTTGATACGAAATGGGCCAGCTATTTCCGAATTATTTATTTGCAATACTGGCTAACAACTATGCACTACTAGTCACTACTCTTTAGCATATGTTCTAGTATATGTTCTAGGAACACACACRCCATTACTAAAATCCACACMAAGAAGAACATAGTTCATAGGACATAGTTTCTCCACACACATTCAGCCTTCATCATTTCAATATCTCTTAACGTGGATGGCAGCTGATACATCGAGTCGCCTGTTTTGAGTCTTTTATTCCGTTCTATCTCGAATATAAATCAAATGGTACCCAAACTGGGTCTTAATAGGACCGTGAACCACCCCAATCGGCTCGTTGAAAACTACAGCATCGAACTCCTTGACCATCGCGCCCGGTCCAAACGAGCCDAGGTCTCCTCCGCTCGAGCCGGAAGGGCAAGCGCTGTACTGCGCCGCAGCCTTGGCAAAGGCCACCGGAGAGTCTCCGATCTCTACCTTGAGATCTTCTAGTTTGTTCTCAGCCTCGGCCCCACCCTTGATGAGAATGTGGGACGCACTTGCCCTAGTGGTAAACCTCTTGAAAAAGCCCTGGAGGTCGTCCATGAATCCACCAGAGAGTCGGATCGAACGATCGTATCGAATCGGACGCACAGCAGAAGAAGACCATCCTTCGTAGTGAATACTGTTTATTTTGTTGTATTGAGAAGAGGATCCGCTCGATTGGTGATTTTGGTGATTTCGAGGATATTGGAATGCGTGCGTGGTAGAGATTCCAAGAAACAGAACCAAGGCTAGATGGAACAAATTTTTTGTACTTCCATAATAAGGAAGGGATCTTATTGTTCCTTTCATCATGTTGCAAGGGGATGTAGTGTACGTTCTTGACGTAAAATTTATTTTCTAGGAAATATGAATGTCGCAGCTGCCGCTATTCTTCTCATTRGGAATACTTGCTAGTCCTAGCGGTACAGTATCTGTCGAAACATACCGTACGTTAYGTCTACTTGAAGTTTTCAGGTCGTCTATTCTTTCGTGAAACACTGTAGAAGTAATTATTTATTCGAAGTATCTTCTGAGATGGGTTCGAAAGTCCTACGGTACCGTACCGATAGCAGTGTCAGAAAAAATCGGTCTCTTCGTAGCCGGACTGGAAAGTCGACTGCAGCGCCACTCGGCAGAAAGGCCAGCCAGTTACGAGTACGAGTACGTACGTAATCCAATTTTTGCGCGGTCGAGCACGTGTCGGAGACCCTAAGTAAATGAAAAAATGAGGTTTTGAAATAGGCTCAACGGACGAAAACGTCAAGTGGTACTCCGGTACCACTCGATGGTACTCCGGTACCATTAGATGGTACGGTACCGTTAGATGGTACCGTACGTACGGTACAGTATAAAATCTGTATGCAATCGTATACAGTACGGTACAGTACGGTACTATGTACAGGTACAATTACTAGTATCAATTTTCCAGTACAAATTCCAGCACTCCTCCAGTACTCTATTTTTTGYTACTCCCAGAAGACACCAGTACTCACTACAGTAGGGACCACAGTATATGCAAAAAATGAGCTAAAATTACTAGTTTGCAGACTTCTTCCTTGCCAAGAACCGCACCCCCATGAATATTGAGGCTACAGACGACCTAAAAAGAAAGATTTTCACTATGAGGGAAAGGCGGTGGTGGATACCTTGCTCCTCTTCGTGAAGAACCAGCTGGGCGACTAACTTCAGTGATTTCGATATCTGGATCATTAGTCTCAAAAAAGGACCTGCGATCAAAAGAGTATCGTCTAGGAATCCTTGTACTAGCCAAACTGCTAGAATGAGATTCCAACGGTAGAGGGTCGTCCCAGGCACCACGATCCTCCTGATGGCGAGGATCATAGGAGGAGCGGTGGTGGTAGCTGTTTTCACCAAAGGAAACACGATGGTGGTCTTCTGGAGGGCGAGGAGGAGGAGGGCGAGGAGGATCATAGTAGGAATCTTCACCAAAAGACACCCTACGATGAGACTGGTGGCGGCGATTGTCCTCCCTGCTGGAATAGTCGTAGGAACGAGGAGGTGGACGTGGCTGGTGCTGCAGATCATAGCAGTGCTGGTCACCAACATACTGGTGGTGGTGATGATTGCGACGGTGCTGGTGGGATTGATCCCACGAAGACAGAGGAGGAGGAGAACGCGGAGATCGATGATGATGCCGGTAGTACTGCTGGTGGTGGTGCTGCTTGCGCAGAGGAGGAGAATAGCGAGGAGAACGATGAGGAGGACGATGATGGTAGTTGGAATACTGGGAGGAGTACGACCTGTGAGGGGAACCTTCTGAGTAACGGCGATGCTTGTGGCGTTCCCTTGATTGGTTGGTGTAATCAGCAAAAGGCAAAGGCGTAGGCGCAGTGCTAGTAGTAGATTCCTTGGAGGCAGTGGAAAAAGAGATGCTTGCAGGCAAATCTTTGGGAGGGGGCTTGAGATCAGCTTGGGGGACTTCAAATTTTTGGGTCATCATCCCCAAATCTCCAACAACAGCAT